TCACATATTGTCTTGAATCGAGTATTCTTGTCCCACTTTCCTTGGCATCTCTTAAATGTAGAACATAAGCCACATATTTAAGAAAACAAGTATGAAATATTTCCAGTAGGAGACATGAGACACTTTGAAGTGATAAGCAGTGGTTTTCTGGACATACAGTTTTAGATTGACGTGTACCAGATTCCTTAGGTGACAAGCACCTGTGCATTTTATATCACAATTTTGTATTTAATAAATATATGTGCATCTTTATGTGTAAAGAAAATATATTTTAAACGCTATCGAGGAATCTTATAGAAAAACAGCACTTATAAAAGTGGCATTGTATAAATTTTAGTACAAATTTTAAAGCATTCACTTCTATCAAAACATGAGGTAGTCAATTCAGGAAAAATAATCAGCCTTTAAAAACTTTAAACATGGTTTCTTCTGAACATGACACAATGGCCACAGGTGGAGGAGGATACTTGGGAACATAATTCAGATGTTGATGCTGGCCTGCTGCAAACCCATTCTCTACTCAGCTCATTGTAATCGGACAATTGTGTTGGTTCCCCAGCCACGCAGAACCTAGTAATCACCCAGATAATATATTAATTACAGTATTGCTTGGCCATATTCCTAGCTAGCTCTTACATCTTAAATTAACCCATTTCTATTAATCTGTGTATTGCCATTAGGCTGTGGCTAACCAGTGTCTGCATGTTACTCCTTTGATAGTTACATGGCATGTCCCTGACTCCACCTTCTATTCCAGCCTGGCTATATTCTGCCATGCCATAGGCCAAAGCAGCTTTTATTTTTAATTAACAAATGGTAATAAAACATATTCATAGCATACAGAGGGGAAACCCAAATCACCTCATCTTCCTGGCTATCAGACCCTCATCTGATCAGTCTCTGGTAAGCTATAGATCTTACTGAGAATATTTACCTCTGTCGTCTCTGGCTGTTGTTGACAGCTGTATTTATTTTAGAAATAGTTTTGTAAATAGGACCTAGTCATTACCTCTTTGGGTCACTATCTGAGGAAGGTAGTCTGCTGAGTGCCTTGTGATTAAAATTTCCTTCTAATTAAAATGAAGCATAGAAGAGTGCTTTATTTTTATTTTGATATTATTAGTTTATCATCTTGGTTTATATGAAGCATGAAGTATATCCTGTAGGACCATACGTGCAACCATGTAAAACTATCCGTCAGAGCACAGTAAGTTGTGCAGTGGCTTTACAACTGAAGGTGCTTAAACCAATGGTCATTGGTTCATCAGGGAGTAGGGTACGATGAGTCTCTCTTTTATTCATGCCTGACTTTTAAAACGCTCTGTCTGAGCAAACCCAATGCAGACAACTGGAGGGGCTGTTAGTTCATGATTACTTGTGTCATGACATGAAGATAGAGTTTCCCAGCCATTCTCGCTGGCACTCTGTTTTTATGTTCTTTCTGCCCCATCTTCTCTATGTTTCCCGACACTTAAGAGGTGATACATATGTCTTGTTTAGACTAAGTGTTCAGTCCTGTCTTAATCTCAGCACTTATCTAGCAGCTTGAGTTTCTACTGTCACAGCTGTGCACTGCAAAAGGAAACTTCTCTGATCAAGGCTGAAAAGGAAACATGTGTTGACATAAGCAAAATAAAGAAGCTTTATATTATGCTTAGGAGTTGTTTTTTTTTTATCAGTATGAATATCGAAATTTGGGGAGGATATGTGCTTATAAATTCAGTTGCCTGAGAACTCAAGAACAATGGCAATGGGTTTCTGATCCTACTGCACGTACTGGCTTTGTAGGAGCCTAGGCAGTTTGGATGCTCATCTTACTAGAACTGGATGGAGGTGGGGGTTCCTTGGACTTTCCACAGGGCAGGGAACCCTGATTGCTCGTTGGGCTGAGGAGGGAGGGAGACTTGATTGGGGGAGGGGGAGGGAAATGGGAGGCGGTGGCGGGGAAGAGACAGAAATCTTTAATAAATAAATAAAAAGAAAAAGAAAAAAAAGAGAAAAAAATTCAGTTGCCTAAGGAATCTAGAAGCATCATGTCTTGGACGTAGAGTTAAAAGCACTTGTGAGTCACCCAATATAGGTGCCGGACAGCAAACCCAAGTATTCTTTTCTTTTTTTTAAATTTTTTATTGAGAAAAAGAAAAAAATGTTTCCGCCTCCTCCCAGCCTCCCATTTCCCTTTCCCTCCTCCCACCCTTCTTCCCCTCCCCAAACTCCTCTTCCCCTCCCTCTCCAGTCCCAAGAGCAGTCAGGATTCCCTGTCCTGTGGAAAGTCCAAGGTCCTCCCCCCTCCGTCCATGTCTAGGAAGGTGAACATCCAAACTGGCTAGGCTCCCACAAAGCCAGAACATGAAGTACGATCAAAACCCCGTGCCATTGTTCTTGGCTTCTCATCAGCCCTCATTATTCGCCATGTTCAGAGAATCCAGTTTTATCCCATGCTTGAACCTAGAGTGGCTCCCAGGAGCCCAAGGCGATGTCCCCAGTTATTTCCTTGGGCAGCAGAGGATAGGGAACCTGAAATGACCCTATCCTATAGCAATACTGACGAATATCTTGCATATCACCATAGAACCTTCATCTGGTGATGGATGGAGATAGAGACAGAGACCCACACTGGAGCACTGGACTGAGCTCCCAATGTCCCAATGAGGAGCAGAAGGAGAGAGAACATGAGCAAAGAAGTCTTGACCACGAGGGGTGCACCCACCCACTGAGACAGTGGGGCTGATCTATTGGGAAACCCAAGTATTCTTAACTGCAGAGCCATCTCTTTATTCCCCTTCAATTTTTTGTTTGCTTGTTTGGTTGGTTTGGTTTGGTTTGGTTTGGTTTTTGAGACTGTGTTTCTCTGTAGCTTTGGAGCCCATCCTGGACATTACTTTGTAGTACAGACTGGCTTAGATCTCACAGAGATCTGCCTGTCTCTGCCTTCAAAATGCTGGGATTAAAGGTGTGCACCACCACCACCTCGCACCTGTTCAGTTATTTTTAATAGTATCAAAGTATATACATGATGCTCGTTTGCTCATGCACATGCATGTACACAAACACCCCACTCTTAGTCATTTTCTGTTCAATCTGTTTTAGCTATTTATTAAACACTGTTATGTAAAAGTTAAAGAAAATTTTCTCGTGGCAATGTGAATTTTCTTTTACACCTTTTAACAATTATCTTAATATAGAATACAAATGAAATTTCTTTTTTTATTCTCAATGTACAATTCTGTATCTCTTTGGTTTCTCGTATATAAAGTTTAGTTAGGAAACACCAAATTGATGACTCTATGACATCCTTCATCTTATACCAGGCATGCCACAGAGGACATTTTGTAACTCAGAGAATAAAGCAATATTTTTTTATTGCTCTCATGAAATACCATGCAGATTGCTATGAATTAGGAATAAAAAAAATAAGATAACACAAGTAATTCAAGAAAATATATTTAGCTGTTAATGTCTTTCTCAATGAACACATGGGAAAATGGTCATGCCACCCACTGAAGAGAAATATAGGCATATAAAATAGATATTGACATAATTTTTTTTGTACGGATTTCCTGAGTGTATTTACAAACCATATAGTACAAAAATATTATATAAATGTATCAACATACTATATAATATAGAAAGGATATATGAAATAAATTAGCATGTCATATGGTAATAGAGATTATATATTAGCATTCTATATGATAAAGGTGTTTCTGTGAACGATTGCCCCTTCACATTTAGAAAATAGTGGAATCACAATGCACTGCACTTGGAGATAATGAATTCAAGCCAACACTTCAATTTGTTTGGCTCATCCTACATACAAGTGAAGGAGATTCAGCTTCCAAATGTGACCATATGTAGATGGTAATAAAGTAAAGCAGATTCAGTTCCATCTATTTTCAATTGAAAACATTCATACTTCCAGCCAGCCACTATTATAGATCTCAATGGTGGAAAGATTATAACTTAGAAGTCACTGTTACACTTGGTACATCATTACAGGACTAAAATTCTTTTCTAAGCAATGTATGTGGATTTGTTCATTTTAAAGCCCAAATTCCAGGGCTCTACGAATGTGAATCTGAAAGAAACAGAGCATAGAAAGGAGGTTGCCTATGTCTGAGGTGTGGCAGTTAGGGACACATGCTGATCAAGGATGTAAAGTTTTAGAAACACAGGATGCAGGCATGCTGGAGATCAAGTGGCAGAATGATGGCCTTAGGTAGCCTCTTCTGGAGTTTGCAATGAGAGTAGACCTCTATTTCTTCAACGAAAGAAACGTGTCTCTGTTAGAAGATCATATATTAATAAGCCTGATATATGGGGGAGTAATTTTATGACATCTATAGACATTAAAATGTAACTGTATATTCTAAATGTATATGCTTCATTTGTTGATAAACTAGTAAATGAGATCAACTAAAAGTAAGACAACACAGGACATATGTGAATATTTCTACGTTTAGATTATCAGAAGAAAGGATTTATTCTGAAAATCTTGGATTCATTCTAGAATATGTTAAAGAAAGTTTGCATGCAAGCAAAGACTTGTCATATACTTGGAAGTTTTCTTTGGTTTTTTGTTTGTTTTTTGATATTCATTTACAGGTTAAACAATCTTTACTTACAATTTTAGTTACCTTTGTATCTTCATGTACATCTATGATGAGCTTGTAGCTGATGAAACAGTACATTTACCTTAAATAGTCAGACTTGCCAGTGTCCTCTGCATGACTTTGTATTGCTTCAGCAGTATTTAACTGCTGCCTTAGAATTATGTCCTATTTGAGCAAATGTAAGTTAGTATACAAAATACACAAATAGATGTTTATGTTTTAATTTTTAAAGCACACTGAATGTACTCCATTAATATACCTGAAGTCCTAAGTCAGCAAAAATATTTTTTAATTCTACATAACTGAAAGTAAAATGATGTCAGTGTTGGTATTTATGATGATTTAAGCTTGTATAAATTTACTATTTCTTATTTCTTTTGATTTCAGATGCAATAACAGAACCCAGTGTGCTGTGGTGGCAGGTCCTGATGTTTTTCCAGACCCATGTCCAGGAACTTATAAATACCTGGAAGTGCAGTATGAATGTGTCCCTTATAGTATGTATACTCCTATACTTCTTTTAAAAAGATATTAATTACTCTTTAATTTGCATGTACTGACATTCTCTGGGAGGGCATAAAATAATCACATCAATGTGAAGAAGGCAACAGATGATGTGGGATTTATAGGTCTTAGACTTCTTCCACATCGTCTGTCCATAGAACATCTAATTTTGATGCTATATTTTGGTAATGAATACCTGTATTTGCAATGCTTCTAATGCGAGAACACACAATGCATAGATAATCAAAGAGGAGGTAGTATGTCCATGCTGAATTTCTCCAAGCTTCAGCAGATAGAAATTGATGGTAAATTTTATATACTTATGTGCATAATAACCTCAAAACTGATTTCTTTCAGTGTGATTAAAGTAATTATAAATAAGATTTATGTACGTACTGTCAACCTTTTGAAAATCTGATGCATATCCATTTACAGGGTATAGACTGGAGAGTCACAGGAGGCCATGAATTAAGAAAACTTCAGAGTGTGTTTTATACACTCCCAGGAGTATGTCTGCAGCCTTTAGATCAGCCATGATATAGAGGAGCAATGTGTTTTTTTTTTCTTCAGGATTAATGAAGAATGAAATAATCTAAAATGGAGCATTTTCTGAGTTCTTATCCCAAAGGAAGATTCACCATCACAAAAGATTTTTTTTCTTACTAGTTAATTATTCATAGGATTTGGTAGTGAAAATCACACAGGAAATCCTGTAGTCTCATATTAGATATTCAGCTCATCCCAGAGATAGAGAACACCTGGGATCATAAACAAATCCCAGGTTCCAACTTCCTTTGATGTCTCAGAAGGAGAAAACTATCTGGGGATCAGCAGGTTTCCCGTGCCAAGAGACAGCTCTGAGCTTGCTCATCCGTGCTTATTTCGAGAAACAGCACATGACTCATGAGATGGAAGTGCGCACGCTTCAAAAATAGAGAGAATTTTGGCTAACAAGAAATGAATTATAATTTAAAAGTAATAATGAAGCAAGATATAATTTCATTTTGAGTCATGGTAGCATGACGGAATAGTGAGAAATCAGCACATTTCATGTACTTGTATATTTTGTTCTGAAAACTGTGTTTAAGTATATAGATTCAATTTTTACTCTCAGTTGTGTTTTAGATATTATTGTCTCTACAGGGGCCTCTGTAAAAAGTATAAAGCTCCCAGTGGCCATTTTTTGTTGACCAGTGATATTTTAAGAAATGAAATGCATACATCATCTTCAAACTGAGACAGTTCCACGTTGCATGCATAATGAGATCTTTGTGAAATATGCCAAATGCGTTTCTAGAAAGGCATTTTATGAAAAAAAATGTACAATAGACAAGACTTCATTTCTAAAATAGTTCTCAAAAACCTACATTAATATTCTAATTTTCATATTTTGAAACATGAAAGCAGAGATAAATTGTCAGATTATGGATATTTCTTTTTTAAAAAAAAAATGAAACAGTTCACAGCTGTCTCTTCAGTTCCCTGTATGTCATCAGCTCTGTTTGAGGATCACAACTCAAAAAGATTCTGCCAGATCCATTCTGAAATGTCCCCTGCAGAAATCACTTCAATATAAATAAGAAGTTGCTCACACTCTTTGCATAAAAGGATGTGCTTTTAAACATATGTCTTTTCTCTCAGAAATTCCCAATGATGAAAAACATGATTTTTAAATCTCTATATTTGAAGTTTCTGATAATCATAAAATTTTCTGGATGTCTTAAAAACATTTCTCAGTATGTTATTAATCTGGTTGTTTTCTTTAATAAAAAATCACAAGTTGGGCATACGGGCTATCTACTTTAAACTATATGAATTTGTTGTGTGTATCTGAATTGTGTTTAAATTATCTTAATATACTTGTTCTAAAGAATTATGCAGAGAAAACAAGCTTCAGGTGCAGACATCAAAAAAAAGAATTATTCAGAGGTGAAATGCATTTAATAAACTTAATATAATTTTAGAAAAAAATCACTCAAGGCAGAAACTGGGTCTGGGACACTGCTTAGTTCATTGACTGCCGAGAATGCACCAAGCCATGAGTTCCCTAGATTATCATAAAACATGCATGTTGATCTATATATGATATGCAAACAATAAGCAGATGGAAACCAGGGAAATATGAAGTTCAAGGTGATCCTTAAGTATATTGCAAGTTTAGGACCAGTCTAAGATACATGAACCCTTCTTTCAGGAAAAGTGTCTAAATCATGAACCAGCCCATGCATCAAAGCTTGTTGGCAATTATTTAACAGGATGATGAGATTAAGACATCATAGATTTATAATATATTCTGATTACTTTAAAAGTAGCTGACTTCTCAGGCATATAAGCATGAATTTGTTCTATTTTTCCCCATAGACATTCTAGGATATATTAATAAATCCTAATCTAGATCCATACCCAACTCTTTGTCTGAAACATGAAATGCATGTTTTTCCGAGTGCTGAAAATAAGTCACTGACTAAGATTATTGATGCCATCTCATGTCATTATTCCCATGGGTTAAAGGTTTACATATTTAACATCTTGACTCTCATAGCCATTTTCTTAGGAATTATGAACATCACCATTTTACTGCAAAGGAACCTTATGCTCAGCATGTTAGATACATACCGGCAAGGAATGGAACTAGAGAATATCAGAACTAAGGCATTATCTGCCTCCACTACCCACTCTTAAGGAGCTGTGATATTTAGCCTCATAGATTTTTTGTTGTCCCCCCCCCCAAGTTATTTGATGCTCATTTCTTTCTACTCAGTAATATTCCGTAACTACCAGGTAGTGCAAACGGTGTTTCCCAGATCCAATCCTGGCTTCCTAACCTCTTAAATATTTCTTAAACAGTTTGCATTCCTAGAAGTCACGAAACTACTACAAGCTCGTTTTTCCAAACACTTTCTAAAACTCTAGAATATAAACAAGTCTGTAACTTTTAATGAGCTTCTTCTCTATAGTGAGTTAAGAAGGTTTTTTCTTATCTTTTTTTTTTTTTGTGGAGGGGTGTTTGTATCAAAACTGAAATTTACTGAGATTTAGTGTTGGGGAAATGAAATTTACAGTTCATTCTTTGACATTTTCATTCAACAGGTAAATAATTTCTGTAATGCCATAACCTAAACAAATGGATAGTACCAGTTCCATTCTAAATGTAAGACCATGAACTGGGAACTGTGAGGATAGCCCAGTCTGTAGAATGCTTGACTTCTAAACCTGAGGGCCTGAGTTCAGTCTGCCTGCAACCAGGCACAAGGAGGTAGGCAGATGAATGGAATTCTTGTGTCTAGACTTTGAAGAAAGTTCTGGACCAAAGAGGCAACCTGTCAAAAAAAGGAGATGGCACCAGAGGAACAAAAACCAGGGTTGTCCTCTGATATGCACACACATGTACACACCGGTCTACTTATACCCCACATATACATAATCCTACACTCATATCCACGAATGCCATTGCAACACACACACACACACACACACACACACACACACACACACGCACAAAGACCACAAGCAAAGTACTGTGGAATCTACATCTGTGCTGCTTCATGGAATTTCGCGAATACATAATATGGCTGTGGTCCTTTAATGCTACAGTGGAGTGGCAAAATCTCACTTGCCCAATACATTTACTGTACCTTTGGTGTGGTTATATATATTGTAATAAACAAGTACCATTTTATTACAACTGCAAACCTTACTTAGTAGACACTACATGTGTATAGTCTAAGATATATAATCTGTAGTGGATAGGGGCATCATAGGCTTTACACAGATTTCTTCAAATTTAATCAGTGACATTCACATAATTGTCGGTCACCTAATAATGCATTTATCAGGAGGTATCGTTAGTAATTGATGAACATAGTAAAATTGGACACATTAATGATGTTAGTTAGTTTTCCATTTATGTGATAAAGACCATCATTAAAAGCAACTTAGAGATGAATGTATTTATAACATTTTTTTTTATTAAAAATTTCTGCCTCCTCCCCGCCTCCGCCTCCCATTTCCCTTACCCTCCTCTGTCCCCCTCTCCCTCCCTCATCAGCCCAAAGAGCAGTCAGGGTTTCCTGCCCTGTGGGAAGTCCAAGGTCCTCCCCACTCCATCCAGGTCTAGGAAGGTGAGCATCCAAACAGCCTAGTCCCCCCCCCCCCCCCCAAAGCAGTACATGCAGTAGGATCAAAACCCAAAACCCAGTGCCATTATTTATAACATTTTTGTGGCTTAGAATCCTTAATGAAGGGAAATCAGGACAGGAATTCAGGGCAGGCACCTGGAGCCAGGAACTAAAGAAGCCGTGGAGGAGTACTGCTAACTGGCTTATTCTGACTGGCCAGCCTGCTTTCTTATATCATCCAGGACCAACTGCCCATGAGCAGCATTGTCCATAGGGGTCCCGGACCTTCCCACATCAATGGTTAATCTAGAAAGTGTCCTACAAACTTCCCTATGAAATCTGAGGGAGGCATTTGGTCAACTGAAGCTTCTCCATCTCATGTCAAATTAACAAAAACTAACAGAAACCCTGTATGTAATTCACAAGCAACATTGAGTTTTTTAACATTTATTTACTCATTTGGGTTTTTTCTTTGTGTGTGTGTGTGTGTGTGTGTGTGTGTGTGTGTGTGTGTACTCACATGCACACAACAGTGCATGTGTGAAGATCGTCTTCCACCATGTGCACCCCAGGGATTAAACTCAGGTAGTCCGGTGTAGCAGCAGGCAGCCAGATTCATTGAGTGGTCCCGTTAATCCTGCAATATTGATTTTTCTTTCTCAAAAGATTTATTTTTATTTATGTCCATGTGTGTGTATGTTACATGTGTGAGTATGACTGTGGAGGTCGGAGGAAGATGCTAGGTGCTTTGAAGCTGAGGTGACAGACAGTTGTGAGCCAGCTGATTTGGGAACTGACATTATTTCTTCTGGACGAGCCACAATGGAATCGACTTTATAGTACCCAATACTGGTTTTTATAAAGAGATAATTTTC